TTTTTTAATATTTTAGATTTATTGGAGTACCAGAAAAGATGAATCTTTGTGGAGGGATGAAGTATGTGAAGCTTACGATGCGCTGGTGATACAAGTGTGATAATTTATTGTGAACTATTAACTTTTATAAACTTCTAAAAGATGAGGATTTCTATTGTATGCACAAAAATGAACTTTGGTGATGTATAACTTAATTCTTTTTGAATTATGGTTTTGATTTGTCATGTGAGTTACTACTGTTGTAATATGAATATTTCTTATTTTATGAATAGGATATGTTTGGGTTTGAAAGGTCATCTTAATTGAACAAAAAATAAATAATATTACAATTTTTGATTTTTTTTTTTGAATTTTTTTGCTGCAAATAAATTTTTAAAAAAATAATACTATTTGGTGCGGTTCTGCAAGACAAAATTTGATTTTTTAAAATAGCTATTTGTTGCGGTTCAAAACCGTAGCAATAAGTCAAAATTCGTTTTTTAAATAGCTATCTGAACCACAGCAAATACGTTTTCCTACAATTTGCTGCTCCATCAATTGGTGCGGTTCAAAACCGCAACAAATAGCTAAAAATGACCACAGTTAATGACTATTTTTCTAGTAGTGAATATGAGTAGTTATTGGCGGTGAGCTTGAACATGTCTCCATCATAAGTGACGTTATCTTCCATCTTGAAGTGCACGAGCTAATGACAGCCTCGGGTGAACATGGCTCTGATACCACTGTTGGGAAAAACTCTGACTTTTCGCTTCGTGAAGTTAAGATAGGCACTTAGAAATTAAGGTAGTAATGGGAGCACACAATTTAAATTCTCCAATATGGAGATTTTCCCACTATACAAAAGAATAGTAGGATTTGCAAGGATGTTACAAAATTGTCTCACCTAATGGTGGCTCAGTCAAGCTTGAGGATAGGAACTTCCCAAGCTAATTGTCTTCTCTCTCAAAGAAGCTCTCTAACTTTCTCACTCTAAGAAGTGGATTCACTCTTGGCTAGGATTGTTAGGAATGAATGCCTCTACTCCTATTTATACTACTCCACCTCCATAATGAATGATGGAGAGTAGTTCTCTAGAATGCTCTAAATATGTCTACATATTCTAGAGAATTCCAAGGAATCTATACACCCCTTCATTCCCTTCCATATGCTTCCATTCTCTTCCATGAGATTCTGGAAGGTTCTACACATCTCCGGAATATTCTAGAGGATTCCACTCTATTTTGCATGCTTCTAGAGAGTTCTAGATTTCTCTAGAATTCTACGCAACGTTCTATAAAATTCTATACTTCTCTAGAGAGCTCTAGAATTTTCTAGAACTTCTCCAATTAAGGAGGGATCCCAACACCGACATATACATGCACGCAAACCGCTTTGATTAAAAGGGAAAGATCATATTGACTAGGTTAGAGGTACGAGAGATTATGATTTTCTACATTCTCACCCATTATCTGCTTGTTATCCAATCCGTTTATAATCCGTTTATTTTTAGTTATATTTTTATTTCATTCCTATACATTATTTGTCCAACTCTGAAAAAAATGAAATTTCTCTCATTTATATTGTGTGTATGTAGATGTTATCGCTGAAATGAATAAAGCTATGGATGAGAGTCTGCCTCTCATACTATGATCCAATATTAGACCTTAAATTATAAAATATCATTTACACCATTAATCAGTGGCAGAACCAGAACAAAATTTGAGCAGGGGCTAAAAAAATTTTGAATCACTAGTTGGGAAGATTCATAATCTGTATCGTTTTAGGGTATATTTATGGTAATTTGATCTCAAATTACTATATAATATTATTTCCATTTGCATGAAGTAACACTTTATTTGTAACTATATATAATTCACACACAAGCGCACACATACATATACACATCAACTTAAATATCGACATTTATTCATTTGTATAACTGATTTGTTAGTGCCTAAACAAAATAATAGACTACATTTATTAAATGAGTTTATTTCGATTTAATACGCTTTCCCTTTTATTTTAGAATAAAAAGGTTTAAATAGAAATATAGCTAAACATGTAGAGGAAGGTAAATTAATAACATACGGAGTATATATATAAGTTACTAACTTATCAAGAAAATAATAATTTTTTTCTCTTTTCAAATAGCGTTACAAGTAGGTTATTTATTTTTTAAAAGGATATTTTATTTTTTTGCAAAAGTATTACATGAATCTAATTATACTCATATAAAGTCAGATAGTTCAAATATCAACAAGAAATTTTGGCATATTTGTACTAATCCAAGGAATAAATATAAAATTCAAGTAGTTTTGAAAAGTTTATTGATAAACTTTTTATAAAATGATATAGGTCAATGTTTGAAGGGGGGAAGCAATAGCTAAAAGTCATTTTTTGTTGTTCTTGTACTAAACAAAAATGTAAATAACATGTTAATATTCGAAAAAGTTCAAAATATGGAGTAAATATTTTGAATTTGAAAAATAAAAATGCAACATAAAAGTAAAAGAAATGTGGTAGGAAAAATATTAAAACTAATAACATTCCAAAAGGTTAAGAGATAAGTAGAGGAAGAAGTGTAATGGAGTAAGTAATTTAAAAAGGAGACTAAGCAAGGATTGGAACCCGGGTCTTCCCGCAACTTTAAAACTGTTCAGCCATCTATGCTACTCCAACTATTGAGTTAAACACGGATCAGTTAGTACATATTATTATTGAGACGGGGCTGAGCATGTATATATACATATATATACACTAAAACCTCCGGCGAACGGGGGGCGGCAGCACCGGCTCGCTCCCCCCTAGTTCCGCCCCTGCCATTAATTAAGCATTTAAGCAAACGATTCCCCGCTATTAGCCTATTACAACCTTACTCGCTTGGGCGGTTATGGGTATGAAAAAATTAACAACACAGGTACATTGATCCGGTCATGCGGAACCGGCTGGTCCCAGGGCAATTTGACAATATGAAGACTCGTTTGGTTATTATTAGTCCTAACTCCTAAAAAGAAATATTTGTATTATTTCCCAAATAAACCTACCGGACAACATTTTCTAAAATCCCACATAAGGGTTCTTTATGAATTATCAATGATGCTAGTTTGAATAGTCCAACTTGTTAAAGAGTTAATTAATAAAATAGGACTAAAAGTCATTCACTTTTCACAAATAGGACCAAAAAATAAACTATGTTTGCATAGGACTAATTATGTGTACCTTGGACAATAATACCCTTATAGCTATTTTAATGTTTTAATTCCTAATAAAATAATAAAAAATAATAAAAATTCGTAAAAAATACTAAAAAATTAAGAAAAACATTTTGATATTAAAATTTTAATTAATTTTTTTTTTCAAAAAAATAAAAAATTTAAATCAAAAATTAAAAAAAAATAAAAAACTCAAAAAAAAATCGCCGCCGCCTCAGCCGCCTCAGCACCACCACCTCCAGTCACCAGGGGAAAAAAATGCCAAGTTCATTACGAATGCCATATTTATGGCAGAAAAAAATGAAAATGTTGGCATTCGAAAAGAGAAATATGCCACTTTTTTGGCATTTTCAGAAAAAAAAATGGCATTTTTCTGGGAAAATGGCATTTTTTTCATCGGCCGGAGGTTGTGGTGCTGGGAGGTAGTACAGGCGGTGGGAAAGGCATCCATATTTTTTTAAATTTTTTTTACGGAGTTTTACTATTTTTTATTAATTTTTTAAAAATAAAATTATTTTTTAAAAAAAAGTTTTTGAATTTTTTATTTAATAAAAATTTTATAAATTTTTTAATTATATTTCTATGAATTTTTGAATTTTTTTCGAATTTATTATGAATTAAACATTTAATTATGGCTTTTGACTATTTTTAATTCATATTTAATGGAAGGGTAAGAATGGAATGCAAAAATAGGTATGTTTCCAATAGGACTCATATGGTCCTATTTTGGAATAAAAACATAGCAAGTCCTATTTTAGGTTTTTGTTATAGTTTTAGTCCTATTTGAACTAATTTCTACTTGTTAAACTATTACAGCCACAGCAATAAAGTTCAGTTTGACAACCATATTTTACGCCACCAATCGTGTTTAGGGGTATTTGGAATTAGTCCTGGAATCGGTTCGGGCCACCCGGCCCGGGAACCGGCCCGACCCACTATTGTGCGGGATCGGCCCAGCCCGGTTCTTCGGACCCAAAACTAGTTTAAGGCCCGATTATTTAGGCTGAGCAGGACGGGCTCAGGTTGCTAAAGGGAGGCCCGGTCCGGCCGAGCCCGGCCCCGGTTCGGGCCAAATTGGTTTTTTTTGTTTTTTTCATTTTTTTGGGCTCCACCCGGGTTGGAGGGGTTTGAGGGGGGGGGTGGGGGTGAGGGGGGTCAGGGATAGGTAGGTAAGCAAAAAAAATATTAACTAGGGATGGACTCGGGCCGGGTGGCCCGACCCGGAACCGGCCCGGGACCGGTACTGTTCCGGCCCGGCCCGACCCGGTGGCCCGGTCAATGACCGGTCCGGGTAGGCCCGGCCCGTGGGTTTTCCGGTGCGGGCTCGGGTCACCCAAAACAAGGCCTGACCCGGCCGGGCCCGGTTCGGGCCAAAAACTATTTTTTTTCTTTTTTTTCAATTTTATTTAAATTTTCGGGTTGGGCTAGGTATTTTGGGCCATTTGGGGTGGTTTGGGGGTTGGGGGTGGGAGGGGGTTAATTAGGAAGAGGAAAACAAAAAAAAATATAACGAGCCCGGTCCGGCCCGGACCCGGTGGTTACCCGGGCCGGTCCCGGGTCCACCATTTCTGACCCGCCGGCCCGCCCGGGCCTAGGCCCGGCCCGGACCCGAGTCCATCCCTAATATTAACCAAGCCCGAGGCCTGGTCAGCCTGGCCCGGTGGCTACCCGGGTCCACCTATTCAGAACCGCCAGCCCGCCCGGGCCTAAGCTATCCACCTATGAGGCTATGAGCCTAATCAGCCTATCCACCATAAAAACCCTGATTTAGGATAATAATAATAATGACAATAATAACTACTACTAGTGTAACGAAAAAAAGCACAAACTGCGCAATGAACTTTATTTTGAGAAAGTAAAAAGAATTTCTGTTTAAAGAAGAAACTGAATATGTACAGAAGTTGAGATCACAAGTTACCATCCCTTTCAACTACAACATTTCCATTTTCCAGTATATATCCATATCCAACCAAAAACATGTCTGTACAACGGTCCCCAATTTCTACAAAGAGAGAAAGGACCCAGACTTCCACGCCCTCACATCCTCAAACAAAAAGCCACAACGTGGCATGATGGTATCCAAGAGGGAAGCAAAAGTACTGCATCGCCCAATTTCCGGAATCCACAGGAACCACCATGAGGAGCAAGTTCTTTGCACACCAAAGACCCCCTCCTAAAGTCTTCTTTGGGGTGAGCAACGTTCTGAAATCTGAACACATTTCATTTCATCATGCATTGTTCCTTTTGCAAATCCGCATACTGGGACCCAGTGACCAATATGTTCTCAGGGAGAGATCTCTATGAAAAACTTTGCAGCCTCATTGTGGCACTTCAGTTCTTCCTTCCACAGGACTCCTCATCCCTGCACATCAGTTGTGGCACCCCCCTCTCAAACACACTTCTTGAGCAACAGGATAGTAGTGGTATAACCAGAGGATCGTATGATGGTTCCTTCCATCCCAATGCAGAGAGAGATGAGAAACTTGTCACTACAACTTTCTTCTGCCGAATCCAGGCCCATTATGCCTCTTATGTACACCGCCATATTGCCAAGCAGCACCATCTCTAGATTTATTATTATCTACAAATTGATGATCGTATTCATTCGCCGAGGAATTTTCCAAATGTGGCGGCTTATGGTGCCGGTGATGGTGGGTCCCATTTCGCACAACATTTGACTTCTCATCCTCCTCGGAAGGTGTCCCCGATCTGCTGGATTCCATTTGTGGATCATACAGCCTATGACGGTGGGGTCCACTCCTCAGCCCTCTGCTTCCTGAAGACATCGCCACCTTGGAGCCAAAGCCTGCGTGTGGAGGAGGAGGAGCTTTTGCTGTGAGCAAATCCTTTGGCAAACAGTCCATATCCATGTAACACTTTCTTGCTTTAGCATCAGCAATGAGTGCTGCCCAGTCTTCGGATTGTACAAGTGCACTGGCATTTCCCATTACCTGGTCAAATATTAAAAACAAGTCCCATCATGATTCAGATATTCAGTACCCACACACCATTAAAAACTTGAATAAACGCCCATGAAATTAAACAATACTTTAACTCTACATTTACCTTTTATTTTGTAAAACACTTTTAATTAAACAATTCCATTAAATAAAGGCCAAGAAATTTAAACACATGTAAAATAAGAGCTACAAACATTAATCATATTCCATTATCCATTGCATTTTCTGACGTCAAACATAACACAAGAAAGTGACTTCCCTTTGAAATTCAGTTTGCCTAGCGTTTTCCATGATCCAATATCTTATGGTGGTGGGAACTCAGTAAATGCTAGGGAAACAAAATATGGAGTAAATGGAGAGGATAGTTAGAAGGACATAAAATGGAGGTGAGGGGATAACAAAACTGATTCAAGCTAAATAACAAAACAATTTGAAACAATTGTACAGACATCAAACAATCCAAATATTTTATTATATATTGACCAATAAGCCTAACGATTTATAAATTTTTTTTATTCAGATTTCTCAATTTCTCAAGATAAACCAATATATTTTAAAAACCGATTTCTTAGTATGGAGTGTTTTATTTTAATTTTCTTTTCACTGAATTCCTTGAGTTCGAAATAGTAGTATAGTCTATTCAAATATATGCAGAGAAACAACAAAACATACCCAAAGAGCTCTCCGGGCACGAGTGAGGGCCACATTCATCCGCCGTATATCAGCAACAAAACCCACCCCATGGTTTGAGGCGCGGACACAAGACATGATGATCACATCACGTTCCTGTCCTTGGAAAGCATCAACAGTGTTGATGTATATATCTTTCCCTTCTTCTGAACTCAGAATGTCTGCGAATTCTCTCTGAAGGCATTTCAGTTGCAGCTTGTATGGAGTAATTATACCAACAGACACTTTTCCAACAACACCTAAAGCTTTACAGTTTTTCTGTAGATGCTCGTACAGCCTAACACAGAACTGTGCCTCGTGAGTGTTCTGATACGAGACGGACCCGCCTCGATGTGACTCGCGTCCATGTGTGATGTCATAAAACATGTAAGGTCGCAGCAAAGGGTCCTTGTAATAAGGTTCATCTGCCAAATTAATGACACTCTCACTGTCTGTGAGTCGGCCTTGATAAAAATACTTGGAAGGGAAATCCCTAATCTGAGGGTGCATCCTATACTGCACAGACAACAGCATTGTCGGACAGCCTGCTTGTTGAAACCTCTCAAACAGGCTTCTACTGTACATCAAAGTCCCAGCTGCTTTGCTGATAACAGTTGCCGGAAGCTGCTGTGGGTCCCCAACCAGCACGCAACGTGCCGCACCAAGCGAGAGAGGAGGTAGGACCCCCACCTCACTGGCTTGGGCCGCTTCATCAATCACGACCATATCAAACCCATGAGTGAGTCGAGAGAACAACTTCCTCCCACTACTTGACACAGTCGTGAAAACAATCTCAGCCTCATTCGCAAAGCTGGCTTCAAGACTGGACCGAGCTTCCTCCAAATTGAAGTTGTTACCCGCACGAAACCTACCCTCAAGAATCAAAAGACGTGACATCTCGACCAACACTTTATCTCTGTTCTCCACCACTGCCGCAAGGTTCTGAAGCAATGAGTCCCGGTTTTGGTCCCTAGCCATGAGAAGATCAGGATCAACACCGACAGACCCTTGGGCCCTACCGGCATAAGCAGCAACATTGAGCTCTCTCTGAAGGCAAGCCATCTGCTGAAACAATTGGGTTTCACGGGTTTTCAACTGATGCATCCATCCAAAAACCTCATCACGGCTCTTGGACAAAAGCATTTCAGTTCTTCGCTCCACAGAAACTGCCTGTGCAGCCCTGGTGTGGGAGTCCACCCCAACTCGCGCCACATCAGGTCGGTAAACTTTCATCTCACCATCGATGAACCCACGGTCAAGGACACGGGCAAGCAGCTCATCGGTGGCAGCATTTGAGGGAGCACAAACAAGCATTCTAGGTTTCGGACAGAGTTTAGGGAGTGTACGGAATAGGTTCTGATCCATGTTTAGGAGAACTTCATCAATGGATCCAGATGCCACACTGTCAGAGCTAATGCTATCATTGTTCTGCTTATAGCTCTCTGGTGCCAATTTTTTCAGAAGAGCGGTGTAGTAGTGCTGATACTGAACGAGATGGATAACATTTAGCATTCCCCAGACTGTGTGTGTCTTGCCTGTACCTGGTGGGCCTTGTACCAAGGTGAAAGGCCATGGGTCTTGCTTCTTTGCAATCCCATTTGTCCCCGCAGCTGTGTGTGTTGCAGCCCACTGGATTGCTGCTAATTGGGGGGAATTAAATGTTCTGTGTAAATACTCGACAAAATTTGGTGTGAAACAGTCGGGCATTGCAGGAGTTTGTTCCTCGTATTTGGGGAAATGCTCAGGGCTAGGTTGAAGAATAGCATTTTGCATCTACATACATTGAAAGAAGATATAATGTTGAATAGTAACAAGGATATTTGCTAGACTAAATACAAAAATAAAACCCAAAATCAATGTTTAAGATAGCTACTACCTGTGAGTTCAGCCGACGGAATGCATGCAGAGCAATGTACTCTCTTTGAGTGGTTGCAAGAGAGCCTAGGACAGTCAAAAACCACACACCCCTTGGCTGTAGTTTCCTTAGAATATGATCATCATCAATCTTGCTGAAACAATAAAACAGGCAAATATCTCCATCAATGGTCTATTCCCAGATTGTATACTGAACTGGTGGTGCACAACAAACTGACCTGATGTCATATGAATCCCCGACATAAATGTGAAGGATTGCCCCAAGAGGATCCCTTTTATCAATCGGTACATGCCGCCTGACAGTGCCAGCAGCACGGCCATTAATCTCAGGCTCTTCATCCTCCTCGAATGTTCTCCTTGATCGGTTGACTGCTTTATAAAATTGCAGTCATTATTAATTACTAAAAGAACTCATTTTTACAATCTTGAAACTTCCACAGTTCCACAAGAAGAGAGCTCTTTGCAAACCTGATCCAGGGCGAGGCGTAGAAAGAACTGCCACGTCTCCCTCTTTGAATGACCATTTGAACTCACCCTCAGGAATTAGTATTACATCATACCATCCTGCAAAATAAGAGGGGTTCAAAAATAGTAAAAACTGAAGCAAAAGAAAAGAAGCGAACAAGAATATAAAAAACCAACAAAGAGGTTAGCTCTGTGTAAAGTTTTCTAATGAGAGGAAGGCTACCCCCACCCCACCCCATACACACAAACACACACACATTGCCTAAACTTGAGGTGGAGTGGGAGGTTAGAAAGAAATTCCAGTGAAAAAATAAATGTTTTCTTGGTACCTCAACAATTTGATATGCGAAATATAGCATCAATTCTCAAAATATACGTTTGAGTTGAAGCAATTATACACCCAAGAAAAAACTTGTGTAATCATAAACCACAATTGTAGACTAACGAAAAGGAACAATAAATTTAGCCATGTCAATAGAATTTCCTACTCTACATGAGTATATGCACCCAAATAAAAACATTACTATGCATATTCCTGATGCAGTATTTGTATTTTAATTCAAAAGAGATATTTGCATTTACAAATACAAAGATAGTTGTCAATTTGTCATTTTCATATATTCATTAGTCACAAAAGCAAAACCACATTTGAGGACAATATTACAACATAACAATACACATAAAATATTAGTGATACCTCTTTCTCGTCTTTCAACATTTTTTATGTAAACTTTGGTATGTGATCCTGTTTCTGTTACCTCCTCCAACGTACTGCACAGCTGGGCTCGACATTCCTCAAAAAGCAAAGGTTCAAACACACTAACATACTCTTCCACAGACTCAAAGCTGCCAGGAACACACTGTAGCTCTGTTTTATCTGGCATATAAAGGAATAAACCCAAGTGTTAAGCCGCATAGAAATACAAAAAATAGCAAATTAGCATTGTAAATAACCTAAAATATATACCATTTGGCCTGAAGTATAAATATACTACACATCTCACTGTTACATACAAAGAGAGAGTGAGCGCACAATTAACATTACGAAAAATAGAAAAAGTGGAGGATGACAGCATAAGGGAGCTACTTTATGCTTACAAAATCACTAGTCAATACAATGTGACAAGGTAGCTAAAGTCAGGCATAGAAGCATATCTTTACAAAGGAACTCCAAATTATTCAAAAATGAGAGAGACTCAAGAAGGTGAAACGTAAGAGCAGAACTCATGTGATGAAAGCAAAAGTGGAATGTTTCCCATATTTATCATCCCAAAAGTTCAATGGGCAACAGAACATCAAAGATAGAAGGCAACAAAAGGGAAATCTTATTCAATAGTCCCTGCAAAGCTAAAAATACTTAGAAGTCAATTTATAGGAGGCAATCTGCCATCACACAAGCTTTCAGGACCATAGAGATGCCCACCAGATGAAGCTGTAGGATCCACTCCTTTATGTTTGAGCCTGAGTAACAGAAAGATTGCCATACACTTAATAAAGTGTTGCACCAAATGCTCCTTTCAACAAAATATCACACAATGGGATAAAGTGTTTATACCAAACAAAAAATCTTGTACACAGTAGTTTCTGCTTTCCAGCGAATCTTTAAGGTCAAGCAGCCAACAAAAAATCATGGTATTTTCCCCTAATAAATATGTTTCCCTAGAACTCTTATAATTCCTAAAATTTGAAATTGCAGATCTACATAAAAACTTGGTCCAGATTACATATTGAACTCGAAATCCTAGAAATTTGGTGATGCAGAAAATAGGTTGGTGTGGACAAGCACAGAGTGAATATCAACAACAGCAAAATAAATCACACTGATACGTTAAAGAACATGTTTAAAACATTGAAAACAAAATAGGTACCTGAATGATGCCAAATCTTTTCAGTTGTCACTTCACGCAAAAGCCGCTCAACAGATGTATCTTGGTATTGGGTTGTTAAGACAGGTGGCTTCTTTGCAGGAAGCTTTTTTGCTCCCAATTTCATATCCATGGAGTTTTGATCATTCAAGGAAAGCTTTCTACTAGAAAGCAGGGAACTCTTGGTTTGCATATGCCTATGATCTGAAGCTTGACTCCAAGAACTCTGTCTACATGCAGGGGATGGTATATCTTTCACCAGATTTGTGGAACTATTCATCCTTCTAGGCAAATTCAAAGATCCAATATGCATATCACCATTACAATCATCAGATTTAGAGCCATTAGGTTTTAGACAACTACTTCCTTCATTACTTGGTGAATCAACTTGTTTAATGTCCTTGGAAAAAGGCAACTTCTTTTCCCCACTCCTATCAGCAATAGGAGAATCACACTGAGTATCTTTTACGATGCGAGTTGTAACGGTTGCTGGGAAGTTCTGACGTTTAGTTGAACTCTTCAAGGGGGCTGCTTGTTTAATATCTTCCAGATCAAGGAACATGGTCTGTCGGCTACGTTTCTTACCAAGCATTGCTTCCTTCTGCTGGTCAATCCGCGGACGCTTTGCGAAATTACTTGCACACTTCAGTGCATGTATTGCTTCCGCTCCTCGGTTTTCTCTTTTCTTTGGCATTAACATTGTGTCCTCCTGACTATCGACAGAGTTTCCTCCTTTCCCATTGCTCTCAGTATCTCGGCTACTATTGCTTTTCCTATCATTTGTGTCTTTATCTGGACCTAAAGGAGGAGAAATGCTATTTTCATCTCTCACTATTTCCATGCTTTGAGATGCACTCCTTACAGAACCAGCATTTTCACTTTTTTTCACCTTATCATCCTCAATATTCTCTTCTTGAGCTTTATCCTTAACAGAACTATCATGCCCTTCCATATCAGAATTTCTGCGTATATCTCGAGACTCTTCTACATCAGACCACTCACCTTCTTCTTTCTCTACCACTCGTGTACCTACAAAGCTCAAATTTGGAGGGCGCACAACCTTCATATCCTGACTATTAGTGCTACTTATCATTGACGGATGTACATTTAATGTCGTATCCCCAGATACATTATGTTGTTCCTTGCCATTACTTATCATTGATGGACCTACATTTGATGTTGTATCTCTACTATTCTTTTGTTCACTAAAAGTTTTTGTTCCCTCAGAGTTTTTTAGACGTACAAAAGGTTGAAACCCAGATAGTGAAGATGCATGTGAAAATGCACAGTTGTTAACTATCCCTTGAGGACCAGGAGATGCTGTAAAAAAGTCAGAATTATGATTACTTGATGAAGGAACGGTTTTCTGTGGCTGGGAGCTAGGGACACCACCATTTTCCCGGTCATCCTCAGTAGCAGGTTCATTAAGATCAAATAAAAGCCTTCCTTTAGATGCCATTTCAAATAAAAGAACACATATACTACCTAGAGTTTCTGTAAGTACCCATTTCCTGCTCAACTATCTATAACAGAAATGCACCGAGCATACCAAATATCAGAGGCAGTAGGTAAAATCTGACCTCTTGCTCACTCAGCATAAAATGATGGAAAAATACGGTATCTGCAAGTCAAGAGAAAAACAAAAATAAGAGAATATAGAGACCGCGGAAGATCAAGTTCACGGCCCACCTCCAAAATTAAAACGGAGTAAAACATCAACAGCATCTAATAAGTGGTAAAGCCTTTACACCCACAACATAAGCAGCAGTGAGCCGTATTCCCATATCATAATGTACGACAATCTACACAGTGATGTGCCAGGACAGTAATGGCAATGGAGTTTTACGGTTCCTCCAAATAGCATAAAACTATGTAAAATCTAAATGTGCAAGGTGATAGACTAGATAACTCAATTATTTAAAGACTAATATATGAGTTAAATACTTAGATCTCAGGGTCAACAATCACCTAGTTCCACTCTATTCACACCTGAGACTTGGAATATAAAGGGTTCTTAAGGATGCATTGGCTAGCTTTGGTTAGTTACATAATCTATATCTACATTTCTACGTATATATATATATATATATATATATATATATATATATATATATATATATATATATATATATATATATATATATATATATATATATATATATATATATATATATATATAAGCGGAATAGTGGCAGCATGCCTTTGGGCAGGAACACTGTAGCAGTTTGGATGGCTAATTGCTAACCAAAAAGAAATTAAAGGCAGTAGTATTTCAACGTACTTGCATATGGCTAGAGACAAAAAGCCAAATACACCATTTATGACACAGCTGCTTATAATGATTACATTTAAGGACATCATATTTCAGGCAAAAAATGGCCTGTCTTTTGGCCTTTCATATTCGAATGTAAATTTGATCAGTCAAGGATGTTTTTCATCTATTTCTTACGAGTGAAATACAAGAAAAAGCCTTACAACTTTCCAGGTGTCGTTGAAATTGCAATGAATATTTAATGGCTACATTGAACCGTGTGTTGTTATTGGTGTTCTTCATTCCTACCACTTGCTATATATAACCCTGCAAACCTATTTAGACCAGCGAAACGAGGGTGTGCCTATTTGAAAAGTAATGTCTTGGTACTGTTTCCAGGCTTTAGATATCCTTAAGTTTTTATCTCGAACTGATTATTTAAAAAGATATTTCAAGTTGATAGATAGGCGTGAGTTAATTTTAGTGTAAAACATAGTTTAGCACTGCAGGTGGTCAAGCAAAATGAGGACGAGATCAAAAGCACGGCATAATTAAAAAACAATTTCCTGTAACAATGTCATGCTAAAACTGATAACACAGATGACAATGAAGAGAATGAATCATCTCAAGTTAAGTGTACAGTGAGTTAGTGCTTTTATAGGTAAATATCCTCCAAAGGATCATGTGATAAGCTGAAAAAGATCATCAATACAACAGATGACAGGTTGTGTACTAATCCTACTTTTGTCTAATGAATTGTCACGAGTGTGTTTTTAGTTTTTCATGAAGGCTTTCTTTATTTATATTTGCATTCTAGCATCGTTGAACAACAGGTACTTCTATGTCCATAAAACTCTTTGTTTTCTTGAACTATTTAGATTTTTTTATACATGAACAAATTTGAAACACAAACAAAATTATTTTTCAGTAAATATAATATTAATATATTATTAAAGTTACTATTCTTTGATGATTAGAATGTGATATTTTGCTTTAATATGTATTCTATTATAGAAGTATTGACACTACATTGCAAAGAAGAAGTCAAAAATCCCTCAAATCTGTTTTGTTAAGTAGAAAATGACATAGTCAAGATTGTGTTGAACATAGGCGTCAGGTATGGATTGTATGATAGAAGTATTGACACTACATTGCAAAGAAGAAGTAAAAAATCCCTCATATCGGTTTTGTTAAGTAGAAAAGGACATAATCATGAGTGCGTTGAAAATAGGTATTTTTTTATGAGATTATATTTGAGTCTAATTTATGCAATCGGTGATTGTTTTCAAAAACACGGATTTCATGCTTCAATAATCACTAATTTTGAAAAGATCCATTTACCTTGATTTTTTCTGTCATTTTGGTATCTTAGGTGAAGATCTGATATCTTAGATTTTTCTAAATGGATCTGGTGACACGCGTGTATGAATCAAAATCTAAATTTGTAGATCTGAAGAAAATTGCAAAAAAAAAAACATTTTGAAAGTAGCAAGTCACCTATCAAAGTTTGCTTAGGTTTCTCAGAATTTGCTTAGGTTTCAACATATAATAACAATATCATTAATTTAACTAAATATATGTAAACCAATATGAACTAATTCAATTAATGTACTAATCAATAAAAGAAAAGGACTGGAGGAATACCGAAACTAGGGAAGGTCGGAAGGTGAAAATTGAGAAGGGCCGATTGGCCGAAGGGTCAAAGGTGAGTGACGGAGTGCAGGCGACCGGGAGACAGGCGTGAGGTGAGTGGGAGACGACTGAAGAGGCGTGCTGCGGTGCTGGCGCCTGGCGGAGTTGTGGTGCTGCGTGCTGGCGCCTGGCGGAGGGCGAAGAGGCGAAGGGAGATGGCGACTTGGCGAGGGCGTTCGACTTCGACAGTTCGTGGATGAGTGGATGTGGATGAGTTGATCCAGAGAGGCTCGGCTTCCTCAGGTCTGAATTATGCCTGTGCAATTCTGTAGGGAGAAAGAACAAAGCGCAGAGAGAGATGAACATCAACGAAGTGTGGGATGGGAAACCAAGGGGTATTTATAGGACATACATGCCTTCCTCGCCGCCCTACGGCCGTTGATTTAAATTTTATGTACGAGATAAATCTGAACGGATAGCGTTATTACTTCCAGCGTCCCTAAAACAATTCATTATTATTACTATTCATTCCTTGACTGCCCATTTTGCCTCTACAATTATCTGAGTATTTTTACCATACACTTTTACTGTTCACAGCAATAAATTTAACTTTATAAATTGTCTGAGTATTATCTTCCCAGATTCCCCTCTAAATAACTAAAAAAATGGAAGAAAACTTCTTTCCTTTCACTTTCATCGTTAAAATTCAAATGAAAAGTTATTTGTACACTGAAGTTGTACATAGTTCTTGTACTTCTCTAATTATCTATGTACAGCCAGCTTCTGGTTCGTTCAGAAATGTGTACACAGGCACCTAAAAGTGTACAAGAAATGTGTACAAAGTAACCCGCACGGGTAGCTCAGTTGGTGGAGTGGTTGGAGAATTGGACAAAGTGACCAAGGTTCGAAACCCGCAGCGGCCGTGTGGAGGTTACAGAACCTGAAATAAGGCTGGACCTCTGGTGCGCACGTGTATAAGACCTACCGCCGCTTTGCTGACTGAGTCACCGTGATTAACCTCCCCACCATCCTGTCGGATCGGGGTGGAGGACTCCTGGGGTGGGAGATTCCACCTTTAGGACCAAGAAATGTGTACAAAGTATGCGTACAAATATATAAATTGCTCTAAATATGAGCAAAAACGTTTTGAAATTCCAAAATAGGAGTATCATGTTTTTATTCCCTGAATAGGAGTAATCTGTCAAGTTTGAGAAAAAAATGTCATGTTTAAAGCCTAATAATGTCAAACTTAGCATAAATTTACTTCTATTCAATGAAAAAAAACATGATAGTCCAATTTTGGAATTTCAATTTTTTTGACTCCTATTCAGAGAATTCTATCGTACAAATATGACCACCAAAATTCATAACTCCTTAAATCAACATTATAAAGCTGGTAGCCTGAACGGATAATCACGAACACAAGCATTACATGTCCAAAATGGCAAAAAGTTAAAACTACAAATTATAGCTAGGCCAAAATACAAGAAGTTATATAATGATGAAAGAAGAAGTGTAGTCACTGATTTTCTTTAAACTTTTGAGAAGGGCAGAATGATGAGAGGCTGCATTATAGAATAGCCCAACGATCGGGGACACCAGAAAGGCCATAACAAAGATTTAGAACATAACCAATGAACAATAATTTGTTGGGCTTCCCAGCAACCTCATAACATAATGAAGGGCAATATGTGTAAGAAACCCCTTGTCATTGACTTGAAAAAATGATACATTTTTCTAAGCTCCAAAAGGAATCTTAGATCACTTTATGCAATCTTAAGGCATTCAAAATCATGTTTGCACTCAAAGGCTAAAATGGATCTTTTCTAACCTCGAAGAGCAAACAATAACAAATTCTACCTCCATCCAGATGAGGTTGACCTTCATAGGACATGGCGGTGTACAAGATTCTTCACTAAAGTGATGTTTCTATGTGCAGTTGCAGGGCCAAATATGGGTGAAAATGGTGAGGTGGTTTTTAATAGAAATTTGGGATATTCTCATTCACTGTAATGGACCCAACATATAGAAGAAGTAAAAATAGATAAGCTAGCACACTTGAGGAGAAAGCAATTATTTCAATAAAAAAGAATGTTTAGAAGGAATGTCTTCTCAGGTTTGTTTGGTATGCTATCCAAGCTAAGTGGTCTAATTGTGTCACTAAGCATATTTACATACAAGAAGACATTACAAGACCCTGTTTTAGTCCAGGTGATAGCGAGTTCATCAAAGAAGCCTCTTCAGATGGATTTAACATTTAATTAACATCTCAAGGCAATATTTTAGAGCGTGACTATTTGTTGTTTTAAAGTTTTGGACTTCCATCCTCTCCACTATCATATTAACACTATCTAAAAAGAGTTTTTCTAAAACTTGGTAGCCAAACAATCAAACTCAATAGAGAGAAACATTTACTAGGTTTTAGTAATTATATCTATTTATATATACGAAAACAAATAGTTCTTTAAAAGACAATTGCATCCTTCATTAATCCTACGTGTCCATCTCAACAATTTACTCATTTGCTATAAAAGTGTCAAGTGACAACATATAATTCTTTTCTCTTCAAATTCCAATTGGAACGGCGAAAACATCAAATCACGTAATTGGTTGAGTGATAGACTTGGGGGGGTCCCATGATATGAAAAAATTTCTTTTTTACTTTAAAGTGTTATAACTTTTTCATTTTTAATCCAATTTTTACAAACATCATATCAAATTTCATAATTTTTTACGATCTTTCATATGACATCAATATTGCATATATAAAATTCAAAAAAATCTGAACATTTATTAAACAACCTTCTAATTTTATAACGTAAATACGAATTATTCTGTATTAAATAAAGAAAAAGTTTCTAATATATGATCAAGATAGGGATAGTTGATAAACATATGGCTTATTAACTTTTAGTATATATAATTGTTTTCAAAGTCACTATAAAAGTTCATAGATAATTTATTTAGTTTTTTATTTACAAATATCTATATATTGGAGGGGTTCTTCCTTATAGTTACTTTGATACGGAGTATAAAACTAAAATATACTCCTTACGTTCCTATTAAAACTTCCAACTTTCCTTTTTCATCCGTTCCAATTAAAACTTCCACTTTCCATTTTTAATAAAAAAATTGTGTTTCACAACATTTCTTACACATTTCTCTCTCGTCTGCACAACTCTCCACCACACAATACCCATTATCTTAAATTGTGTGCCAAATCTATTTGGAAGATAAAATAGGAACGGAGGGAGTAATTTTTTTTGCTGGAAAACGCTTATATTAAATTCAAAAATTAAACAACTAAACATCTTGTATTCTGGTCACCCAAACATTTCCTCTAGATTCCTTATAGCCAATAGGCAACCTCACTCTCTGATTAGACATAGAATAGACTGCCCAATAATGAGCAAGACTAATGGCTAACCATGCGAGAGATTCATAGTTATTATCGGCCAAATTAGCCTGTTTGCTTCCTCCCAAACTAAAAACTAAAGTCACAAAACATAATTTTATCTCTCATATGTAGTGCTTTTTGGTATTAGAAGATAAGTTTTCTAACAATTGAGCAGAGAAATTGAGCGAGAAATTTTTTTCTCATATGTAGTGTGGTTTTAGGTATTGAGCGGGAAAACTCTCTCATATGTAGTTCTTTTGAGTATAAGATAAGTCGGCTAACAATTGAGCAGAATAATTTTGTCTCTCATATGTAATGGTTTTATGTATAAGAAAATAAGCTTGCTAATAATTGAGCGGAAGAATTTTTTCTCTCACATGTGGTGCTTCAATGTATCAGAAGATAAGCTTGCTAACAATTGAGCGGGAAAATTTTCTCTCTCATATGTAATGCTTTTAGGTATTATATATATATTAGAAGATAAATTTGCTAATAATTGAGCGGGAAAACTCTCTCTCTCTCACATGTAGTGCTTTAAGTATAAGATAAGATTAGAAGATAAATTTGCTAATAATTGAGCGGGAAAACTCTCTCTCTCATATGTAGTGCTTTTAAGTACTCCCTCCGGTTCTAAATAAACTTCACACTTTGACTTCATACAAATTAAGGAAATAAATTTGACTTTACTGTAGAATACACTGTTGTGACACAATTTGGCACTGTTTGACACTGTTTGGCACTGTTTTGGTGTAGATAATTTGCCAAATAAGGAAGGGAGAAGAAGTGTGAAGTTTATTTTGGACCTACCCAAAAAGGAAAGTGTGCAGTTTATTTAGGACCGGAGGAAGTATAAGATAAGATAAGCCGACTAACAATTGAGTGTGAAAACTTTATATCTCATATGTAGTGATTCTAAGTAATAGAAAATAATAAGCTTCCTAATATTTGAGCGGGAGAATTTTCTCTCTCGCATGTAATGCTTCTACATATTACAATATAAATGTATTTTTAATTTAATTTAAAATTTATGTATATAAATGTATCTCAATTTTTATATATCAGCCCACCCCAATCTTCACTATTGGCTACGCCCCTGGAATGTGAGGATCTTAACTTGTGCCATTTGGATCACAAGGTCCAATAACCATTACTTAATATGAACACGTTAGATTTAATCAAATATGATATGAGTGATTTAAATGGAAAGTTATCCTACATCAAAACAGGGTCAAACAGTGCAAAACAGTGTCGAAACAGTGCCAAACAGTGTCGAAACAGTGTCGAAATAGTAAAATTTACCCCCTGGTAAGTTTATTTCCTTAATATGTGTGTAAGTCAAACCGGGAACATTCCAACGGGACGGATGGAGTACTATATAAGATGCATGTATTTATACTCTTGAAAGTGCATCAAACACGTGTAAAATGGCCTATGTGCATTTCCCGCCGGAAACAGTACTTAATCAAACTATATGCATGTGCTTCTGTAATGTGTTTTTTCAAAAAAAAAACGACTCTGCTAAAATTGTACTCGGTAAAGACTAAAGAGTTGTTGTTGCTTACTATATATTGTGTATTTAAATATACAAAAACTATTAATAGTATAATAAAATAAAAGAATTTAAAAGGAAAGGTGTTTTCTTTTGATAACTATATGAAAAATATTATAATTAATTATAAAGAGAAGCAGGCAGACTTGCGTAGTATTTGTTTTGTATTATTTCGTATATCTCGAATGAAATACAAGGTTACAACATATATACATGACTCACGAGAAGTCCTCTTCTGCCAGCTAACCACATGCTACAATTTGAATCCTAAAACAACTCAACTCCTAGTCGTACTTATCACAAACGACGTACGTACTAGGAATAAATGTACCAAAAAATTATGTTACAATAAAATACACACCAACACCCCCCCCCCCCCCCTCAAGATGGAGCATGGGGATCACAAATGCCCATCTTGGCAAGCAAATAAGCAAATTGGGAAGCTCCAAGTGCTTTTGTCAACAAATCTGCGGGCTGCTCAGTGGTGGATGTATAGGATGGAGAGATTGTACCAGCCTGTATATGATCCCGAATAAAATGACAGTCAAGCTCGATGTGCTTGGTTCGCTCGTGATAAACTGGATTAGAGGCAATGTGGAGAGATGCCTGATTGTCACAATAAAGTCTCACTGGAGAAGAATGTGTGACGCCTAGGCACTGAAGTAAGTTGCGTAGCCAGATAAGTTCACAAGTGAGGGTGGCCATGGATCGATATTCTGCCTCCGCTGAAGAACGAGAAACTGTGGCCTGCTTCTTGGTGCGCCAGGAAATAGGAGACTGTCCGAGAGAAACAAAATAGCCGATCACAGAACGTCGTGTGATTGGACAACTTGCCCAGTCAGCATCACAAAACCCCGTCAAGGTAAGATCGGAGTCTGACCGTAATAAAATGCCTTGGCCAGGATGGCCCTTAAGGTAGCGGAGAACACGTAGGACAGCCTCCCAGTGCGCCATCTTGGGACATTGCATAAACTGGGAGAGAATATGAACATAATAGCTAATATCCGGCCTGGTCAAGGTAAGATAAATTAATTTCCCAACCAACCGCCGATAGCGTTCTGGGTCAGAAAAATTAGGCCCAGTATCCGATTGTAGTTTATGATTCTGTATCATGGGAAAGGAGACAGGCCGCGCCCCGGTCAAACCCGTTTCAGCCAAAATATCTAACACATATTTGCGTTGGCACAAAAAAATGCCAGTAGAATTGCGTGCTACTTCAATACCCAGAAAATACTTCATGATGCCCAAATCTTTTACGGGAAAAGAAGCAGCGAGAAAAGCCTTAAATGCCATAATCATGTCACGATCATTGCCCGTGATAAGGAGATCATCAACATAAATTAAAACACATAGAATCTGACGATCCCGTCTCAGAGTAAATAAAGAATAATCGGCGTGAGATTGACAAAAACCATATTTCCGCAAGGAGGTCGTGAGCTTAGAGAACCAACATCGGGGTGCTTGTCGGAGCCCATAAAGTGATCTACGCAATCTACATACCTTGCCTGGGGAAGAGGCAGAAAATCCGGGAGGCAAGTGCATGTACACCTCCTCACGCAAATCTCCGTGAAGAAATGCATTATCAACATCCATTTGATGAAGTTCCCAGTGGCAAGAAGCAGCAACCGCCAAAATGGTACGAACAGTTACCATTTTAGCAACTGGGGCGAAAGTCTCGCTGTAATCAATGCCGTGCACTTGTCGATTTCCACAAACCACCAATCGTGCTTTGTAACGATCTACCGAGCCATCACTTTTGTATTTAATTTTGTACACCCACTTACAAAAAATAGCTTTCTTCCCTCGTGGTAAATCTTGAATACTCCAAGTGCCTGTTCGTTCAAGAGCCTCAATTTCCCGTCCCATGGCTTCTCTCCACTGTGGATCATGTACCGCTTCACTAAAGCTGGATGGCTCTTTGACCGCCGATATAGCTGCAAGAAAAGCACGGTGCGGAACCGAAAAATGATTATAATTTACATAATGAGATATGGAATATGGAGTACCTGATTCAACCGACGAGTGTGAGCGAATGACGGGAGAGGAGTTTATTTTAACGGTATTCAATTGTACGTCATAGTCTCGATGCCAGACTGGTCGTTGCCGTTGTCGCACTGCTCTTCTGCTTGTGTTTATTCCAGGTGTAGCAGCCGATCCAGTGGGTTCCACGTTCGATGTATCCAGTGACGTAGCAATAGGTACGTGATTATTCTCGTGCATGTGCATGTCTTCGTGGCCTGCCTCCCGCGTCTCTATGTTTGAAGTGGTGCCAGGCTCATGTGCAGGTGTACCCATCTTATTCTCCCACGTAGTGTAATTGGTTGTATCATCCAAAGCACATTGCCGCACGTAACTGTCTAATTCCGGCACCACACCTCCAGATTGTGGCAAAATGGATTTGCTCCCAGTATCATTATCCACTATTTTGAATGGAAAAACAGTTTCAACGAATCTCACATCACGAGAAATAAAATGTCTATTATTTTCCAAGTCATACACCTTCCAACCTTTTTGTGTATAGGCATAGCCCAAAAATACACACCGCAGTCCTCGTGGTGCAAATTTGTCACCCGTCGTGTCTTTAGAATGTGCATAACATAAACACCCAAACACTTTAAGATGAGAATACAAAGGTGGTTTGTTATACAATAGTTCATAGGGACTTTTATTGTCTATCACAGGAGACGGCAATCTGTTAATCAAATATCCGGCTGCTAGCACACATTCCCCCCAAAATTGAATAGGTAAATTTGCATGAAATCTTAGAGTGCGTGCGACTTCTAGTATATGTCTATGCTTCCGCTCGACTCGATCATTTTGTTGGGGGGTATACACACACGACGTTTGGAAAATTATTCCATGGGCCAAAAAAATATTCACGCAAACTAGTAAATTCTTTTCCGTTGTCACTTCTGAAAACTTTTACTGATTTATTAAACTGTCGAGACGTCATGGCAAAAAAATGATCAAGTATATGTTTGACCTCACTTTTCTCTTTCATTAAATGTACCCACACTGCTCTGGAATAATCATCAACAATAGTCAGGAAATAACGTGAACCGCCAGTGGCTAGTGTTCTATATGGACCCCAAACATCACAATGAATCAATTCAAACGGTTCAATGGCACGTGCAATACTCACATAAAAAACATCACGTGTTTGTTTTCCACGTAAACAAGCATCACAAATATTATTCTGAACAGACTTCAACACTGTTTTATTCAAACAATTAGCTAAACGTAAAACCTTCACTGATGGATGCCCCAACCGTGAATGCCACAAATCACCTGAATCTGACGTCGCCACTGCAAGTGCCTGAGCATGATCAAGATTCCGGAAAAAATAAACTCCCCCTCGTCTTTCACCCACTCCAATCGGCATCCTCGTAAGTAGGTCCTGTATTACACATATATCATTAGTAAAAAATATATCACATTTTCGTTGATCAATTAATTGCGCTAAAGAAATAAGATTGCATTGCAATCCCGGTACTAGCAACACATTCTCCAATTTAAGTTGTGCACTGAGCCACACGTCACCAACATGTGTGGCTTGAGTAAGTTCTCCGTTTGGCAACTGGACGGAAATAGGATCTATCTTGCACCTTTTCTTCATAAGTATTTCAGTCCCAGTCATATGGTATGAAGCACCAGAGTCCAAGAGCCAACGAATTTTAGTTTTTATACCTGCCAGCTTCTCCTCACGTGTAGCAACCTTACTGTTTTCCAGCAGCTTCATGAGATGATTCCATTGTTCATCCGTAAAGTTTGGCCTTTGCATGGAGGTGTGCTGCCCATCACTCACAACTGTAGCATTCTCCTGGTTGTCGCCCAGTTGCATTGCATGGATAGTCGCACGCCCACGCCCACGTCCAGTTCCTCCTCCACGTCCAGCTCCGCCTCTTCCTCGTCCGCCGCGTCCTCTCCCCGGGTTGTCAAACCACCATTCAGGGTACTGACCGGTCCTACGGAAACTGTATTCCGCCTCATGTCCGGGTTTATTACAGTAAGTGCACTTAGCCCTTTCATCTCTTGTTCCTCCGGCGAACCCAGTCCGGGCAGCAAAAGCTACTGCCTCTGGTGGGTGTTCTTCACGTCCACGCATGATATTCTGATGCCTCTCTTCCTGAGTGATCATATGATAAACTTTGGTAAGCGATGGCAATTCATCCTCGCTAAGAATGTTCGTTCTTAGTGTTCCGTAGGTGTCACGATCGAGTCCTAATAAGAACTCGTGCGTTTTCTCCTTTTCTACCTGTTTCAAAAATAATTTTTCAAGTTCACAGGTACATCGACCGCAAGTGCATTGGGGAACAATTCGAAAACCGTCATAATCATCCCACAGGGCTTTCAAGCGTCCGAAGTACGTGGTTATGGGCTGGCCATTTTGACGACAGCCCCGAATCAACTCCTTAAGCTCGTGAGTACGCATCGCATCACCTACAGCAAAACATGTCTTCAAATCTTCCCAGAATTCATATGCACTATCCATGTAGGTAAGGTTGGTTCTGAGAGATGGATCAATCGAAGTCATGATCCACCCTACCAACATGGAATTAACGCACACCCAATCTTCAATGTCTTCCTCATCCGTCGTCGGTCTCTTGATGGTTCCGTCAATGAAACCTATTTTCCGTTTTGCACGGAAAGCGTTCTTCATCGCCGTTGTCCATTCCCGATAGTTGTTTTCACCTTTGAGAACAACTCCACATATGTTCAAACCCGGAAAATCCGAATTTGACAAAAAATATGGGGAAGACGGGTCGTTGGTTCGTCTCCGTCGTTCATGGTTTCCGTTGCCTCCAACGCCTACTGATTCTCCAGCCATCGATAGTTTGCTTCGTGATCGTCGCTGCCCAGTTCTCACTGCTCTGATACCATAAAGAGAAGCAGGCAGACTTGCGTAGTATTTGTTTTGTATTATTTCGTATATCTCGAATGAAATACAAGGTTACAACATATATACATGACTCACGAGAAGTCCTCTTCTGCCAGCTAACCACATGCTACAAAACCGGAAGAAAATACATGGCTACAATTTGAATCCTAAAACAACTCAACTCCTAGTCGTACTTATCACAAACGACGTACGTACTAGGAATAAATGTACCAAAAAATTATGTTACAATAAAATACACACCAACAAATTAAATGTATATCTATATCAATAATACTGTTGAGATATATTATCCCGACCTACTATTACTGTTCAGGAGCTCAAGACATTACTCAGCATGGAGCCCGATCAGTGAGGCCCGTTTCGGCCCGTTTCAATCTTTCAGGCCTGTTTTGGCCCTTTGGGCCCATTAGGGTGACTTTGCACCCTCCACTCTATTTTCTATAAATAGAGGGCTTCCCTCCTGTTTTGGGGATCCCTCTTTTCTTCCTCCTTCTCTCTAGACTAACTAAAAGCCTAAAAGACTCCATTAATGGGAGCTCAAGTGTATAATGTAATGGTGAGCAGAGTCTAATGAGAATAGGAGGGCTTGGACATTAGCCTAAAAAGTCTCGTGGTTTTCTCCCTTTCGGGTTTCCACGTAAAAACAGAGAGTTCATACATACTTATATTTATATTTATTATATAGAAATTGCTCTAAATAGGAGCAAAAATGTTTTGAAATTCCAAAATAGGAGTATCATGTTTTTTATTCCCTGAATATGACTAATCTGCTAAGTTTGGAAAAAAATGCCATGTTTTAAAGCATAGTAATGCCAAACTTGGCAAAAATTTATTCTTATTCAAGGAATAAAAAACATGATTGTCCTATTTTGGAATTCCAAAACTTTTTTACTCTTATTTAGAGAATTCACCCTTTATTATATTGTGTTGGAATAACTCAACAAATACTATTCAAATGGTCATGAACCATATCAAGTCAAATGAGAACAATTAAAATAGACTGGATCATATCGTAAAACTGAAGTCTAGAATATATGCCAGATTTATCATTGTTACTATTGTTATCATAAAATAAGTGCAAGTAGTACAATTTATTATTAGTATTTTTGAACAATAACAGTAGTATGATATTAGATACTATATTAACAAAAATCGTGACAAGAGTATATATTCTACCATATTGGCTTTTCTACACTACAAAAAAACACGCCGTTTGTCACGGACGGTAGTTCAAAAAATCCGTGACAAATGATTTTTTGTCACGGATTTGTCACAGAAAAAATCCGTGACACCAGGGGCGTGATAACGTTTTTGTCACGGAAATTAATCCGTGAGACTGTTTGTCACGGATTTGTCATGGCCCCTGTCCGTGACAAAACACTTCACCGGAACCCCATCGTCTTTCATTTGTCACGGCCGCATCCGTGAATAAATTTTTTTATTTTTCAAAAAAATAATAATTATTTGTCACAGAAATTTCCGTGACAAATGTAAAAAAAGGTTTTTCGAAATAGAGTGGGCGGGTATTTGAAACGATCCGGAAAATTCAAATTTTAAATTTTGTCACGGAAATATCCGTGACAAAACATTTTGAAAAAAATTTGAAAATTTTAAAATAGAGTGGGCGGGTGCTTTAAAATTTTCAAAAAAATTCAAATTTTTGAATTTGTCACGGATCCCATCCGTGACAAAACATTTTTAAAAAAAAATACGTTATTTTCAGCGTTTTATGTATTTAGAATAAAATGAATTTATATTTTGTCACGGAACAGTCCGTGACAAAAGTTTAAATTTTTTTTAAAAAAAATTAAAAATTCAGCGCATTAATTTTTTGAATGTTTATTTCAAAAGTTTATTTAATAAATAATAACCATTAAAATTTAGGCGCTTTTTCAAAAATTTAAACTTAATAAATATTGTTTTTAACAAATAGTTAAACAAACATCATCATTATCTTAATAAATAATTGTTTATTATAAATAATTAAACAATCATCATTAATCATCATTAATCACCATTAAACATTAGGTATCATAATAAATAATAATCTAATCAAACCATCATTATAAAACACAAATAATTAATATTCATACATTAACACATCAAAATTTAAAAATCCTTAAAATGTCAATAAACTAATTATTACAAACCATCAATGCTCATCATAATCAGCATCAGCATCATCAGGTTCGTCACGATGATCGGGTTGCCTTCCGTGGCCACGGCTGCCACCACGATGGCTGCCTCGACTGCCACTGCGGCTGCTAGCACGGCTTCTGCCACGGTAAGCTTGAGCTCCGGGAGCCGGGATATCATCATAATATCCATATGGAAAGTTGTTGGAGATATGACTATAATTAGCAAAACAAGAACCAGATGTGTGGAAGTTGATCAGTAGAAGTGTACAACGATTAAAACAAGTTACACAGTTGATGAAGCCTCGAAATGTAGAAGCAGTTCAAAGCATCCGTGAGCTGATGAGTAGACCGTTTGAAAGCTTTGGCGATATTGTAGACTATGAATCAGACTCATACAACGTTTCACGAGAGAAAAACTTGTGTAGGGCACTTTTACGTGCAGAACAATGTTCGGAGTATATGATACCTATAAACGCGGAAGCTGCAGAAAGAATTAACGAGCTACTTGATAGGCCTCTAGATGAAAGTTTTGACGCTAATGAATAATATTGTGTTTATTTGTTTATCTGTATTGTGAGTTGTTGAATGTAATGAATGATAAAAAAATTGTGTGTTTTCTACTCAGTTTTTAAATTTAATAAATAAATTCATGTTCTTGTTTATTAAATTTCGAATTATTAAAATTTTGTAATGTTAAAAAACTAATAACAAATAATGTTAAAAAACTAATTTCCGAATTTTAAATAATGTTAAATTTCGAATTATTTAAAATTTAAATAATTTTCAATTTTCGAAATTACCTAATTAATTTTAAATTTCCGAATTGATAATAATGAACCACTAATTTTCGATTGAATAATTTTAAAAACTTAATTTTATTAATTAATTAATCGCTATTTTACAATATAATATGGAATAATTATTTTGTTTAGAAATTATAGTTGCGAATTACATACCTAACTATTATATCTTGGAATAATATAATAATGACGAAAGAAAGTTAAAAATTCAAATTAAAATAGTTCAATTAAAAGTAATTACATTGGTTGTTAACTATACATTTAATCGCTATCAGAATCAGTATTTTCTTGATAGCCAACTTCTTCTTCTGTATCTTCATCATCATATATCCATTCTTCTTCTTCCTCCTGGTCATCGTGCAGTTGTTGTATATATAATTCTTCAATTTCGCGCTCATTTTGAGGTATAGGGGGCGGAAGGTGTGTTTCAGGCATAACTTCAACATCTCCGCCATTTGGGTCACTTAACTGAATGTTATGGTTGACCGTGTCAGCAATAGGCGGAGGGTGGAAAAAATCTTGCTGAAAAGCATCAAAGTCAATATCCCTGTGTTGAGCCTGTGTTACAATTTTGCTCGGACGGATATTAATGGCACACACCCAAGGATTCCGTGTGCGCCTCGTTGAAGGATACTCTGCATAATAAACTTGGGCTGCTTGTTGAGCGAGTATAAACGGCTTATTTTTCTGATACACACGAGAGTGGTTGACGTCAATTATATTATACTTTGAATTTTTTCTCACACCACGTGTAGGGTCGACCCATGTGCAGCGAAACAACACGCATGTTAATTCTTGCAAACCAGAAGGCATTTGAAGTTCGAGAATCTCATGCAAGAAACCAAAAAAATTGGTTTCCGAGTTATCACAACCGATGGTCGGGACACATAACCCGCTGTTCATTGTTGGTCGACCTTCTCCATATTCAACTGTGTGATACGTATAACCGTTTATCACATATGAATGCCAAACCTTTGCATAGGAAGAAGGGCTCCACGATAATGATACTAACAGAGGGTCGTTAATCCCACGGTACCTGATCTGCAAATTAAAACATGATAACATTAGGTAATGATTAAAAATTACTAGCTAATAGTATATATAATGTATTTATATATATATAATACCTGCTGTTGGTACCATAATGCAAAGTCAGAGTCCACCATTGCATCAATTGCATCATC